GAGGCAGAGAAACCAGTCCATGGAACATCCCCAGAGGATGCTGCACATGTCCCAAGGAGATGGCAATGGCACCTCCCTTCCCTCTCTGTGGTGCTCACAGGGGGTGCAAGAAGGACCCTGTATTGCTCCGAGGGGTGAGATGATACCGAGGGAAAGCAGCATTTAGGAGCAGAATGGCCTTTTAAGGAGAAAATACAACCAAAATAATGGCCTTTCACAGCAACAAAAAAAAAAAAAAAAAAAGACCCAAATATGTTTCTGTTGGTTGTTGTTGTCCTTTTCCTCTTTCCCCTCTCATTTGGCATGCACATCAAGAAGTTATTAAAAAGAACTTGTTAAATATCTCATTAATGAAGATGAATGAAGACTCAGATTTGCTTCTAAACCACTCAAAGCAGTTTTGTTCTGACCTCCCAAAGCGCGTGTGCGTATGGAAAGGGAGCCCAATAGCTTAAAATACTTTTTTTTTTTCTTTTTTTTAAAGCAGCTTAAACTGATTTCAGCACTGGAGCAGCTGCTCCACACTCTGGGAGGGAGAGAAGATCAGCCTAGGACATGAGAAAAATCAGTGTGCTGGGCACAGAAAGACACCAGGGATGGCGGGGGCTGCTTTGCAGATCATCGGAGCAACTCACCATGTCGTGACACATTTACAGCTGGGACTCAAGAAGCCAAACTGCACACATAGGAGTTGGGGAAGGAATGGTCGCAGTGGGTGAGATTGTGCCCGAAAAATCAGAGCTGGAGCTCCCATTGGCTTGCAGGATGCAGGTTGGCCCATCGTTGTGCCTGTGGTCCAGGGCTTGGTGCCTGCAATGGGCACAGACAGGAGGGAGCAGGGGAGGAGCGGGTTTTCAGATTGGTTTTTGATACACAGCCTAAAATAAGGCACAGAGGAGCTTCCCGTAAGAATGATGGCCTTAAAATAGCCCTCTCCATTACACAGACACTAATAGAGGCTCAGTGCATTATTTCTATCAAAGTGCAATTTGCATTTACAAAGGGCTCCTGGGAAGTGATGGATGGGGAAGGAATGGAGAAAGGCTTGTAAAGCCGAGCGTGCTCATCTTGGAGTAACTTTCAAGCACAAGGCGGTTTTTCTTACACCTTCCCCTCCAAAGAAACTCGTGACGTCTGCTTAAATGAACACTCAGGCTCTCGCCTTTCACCCCGCAGCCCATCAATAAAAGCCAGAGGAGCGGAGGAGAGGGGATATTCATTTATCTTCATTAGGACTCTGGCCAGCTCCTCTGATCACCACGTCGGTGTCACCGGGAAAGAGAAAAAGCTACTGTTCCTCTGCCCGGCTTCACTGCACACAGCTCCTGCCCTGAGAATGGGGAAAAAGGGGATTTTGGCCAGTGGGGTGCAGCCTGCAGAAGCTGAGCTCCAGGACAGAGGATGGTGAGGGGTGGGTGAAGAAAAAAAGGGTGTATGCAATGGGATACCAGTCATTGGAGGCAGAGCAAAGAGAAGGGAATCCATGAGACTAGAGATGATGCGCTCTTATAGGGATGGTATCTGTTGGAAAGCTCAACCCCAACACCATCTTCCATAGCTGCTCAGAGGCCTGCTCACAAGTTTTTTGTGAAGAGGGGCAGTGATGTCAGGCTGGATGGGGCTGTGGGCAACCTGGCCTAGCAGGTGGGCTATCCTGCCCATGACAAGGGGTGAGAACAATGTCATCTTCAAGGTATCTCCCATCCCAAGCTGTTGTATGATTCTATGATCTTTTTGGGAGGCATTTTTCCCTCTCCGCCCTGCCCAAGTTTTCCTCCCCTTTGGAGAAGCCCATGGATAACTATCAGCCTATGGAGTGAATGAAGAGCCCAGCTTTGGGTTCCATCCCCTTTCTGACAACCATGAGCATCAACATTTTTTTATATTTCATCTATCATCCTATCCATCTTTGCATGGATGCCAGCTTGGGCATCATATAATGAGATAATTCATTCAAACACCAGCCTACAAAGTCAGCAGGCACAAGCCAACATCACCACACTGACTTCTGTAAAGTTTATGCTGCCTTGCAAGTGGAGAGCAAGCCTTTAAAAGCTGTCAAATGTCAAATTTAACCTTTGCTTTTGTACTACCGTAGCAAAAAGTTGAACTTTGAAGATTTTTACCATTACTCACGCCGCTCGATGTCTGGTGTTTCTCTAAGTTCCCACGATATCCTTAGGGATGGAGATCCAGAGCAAGAATTTAATGCCTACAGAGATCTATCTCCTCTCCTTCCATCAGGTATTTCCTACCTTTATAAGAGTGCTGTTAGACACTGGGAGAAAGCTTCTTGGCATCCAAAGACACCATTTGAAATGGAAGGAATCCTAAAATAACACGTTTGAGATGCTGGAGGAATCACTTTATGATGGAAGAATGAAATCCCAGCAATGCAATTATCCATTGGAGGGTCATTTGATCACTGTATAGGTTATATATATGTAAAGAAGATAAGAACAATGAAGGAACATGGCCAACATAGTCTGGGTTGGTAAGTGGTAGACCATACCCTATGACCAACCAAGCAAATTCACTGGAAAGACATGAAGATTCACATCACAAGAGTTTCCTCTGGCTGAATGTTGACATCTCACCCTCAACAGAAAACATCTGTTGAGTCTTCCTCTGTGCTCAGAGTGACAGAAGCCATCCCATCCAGTTGAATCCTGGCTGGAAGGGACTATTCCTACCTGTCATCTGTAGAAGTAACCCAGGGATCTAAAGTTGGATGAGATGAATCCCTCTCTTATTTAGATGATCAAGCAGGACTGGGGCATTGGAAATGGTGATCTTTCATGTCCTTTTCCTATCTAAGCCATTCTATTATTCTGATTCATGGTCCTCATAGCATGGGCATCATCTTCCCAAGAATAGGTTCGCGTGGCTGAAGATGTGCCCAACTCAACACACAGAAAACACCACCTCTACCCAAAGGGCTTCAGAAATGAGACAGAACCAACAAAACCTCCTCTCTCACAGCTGATCCCTGCTGTGATCAGAGCAGTAGATGGAGGCATACTGCACAAGAGAAGAGGACATTCCAGCTTCTTCCACCGTGGAGGGCTTTCTCTCATTTGCTGCCTTTCCCCTCAGCTCTGTGGAGCCATAGCAGCTCCCCACTCCCAGCCCCAAGCAGCATTATTTTATTGCTTTTCTTTTCCTGTTTGCCAATGGAGGAGCGTGTTTGAACAAGGCATTTGCTTTGTAGACAACATACAAAGGACTGGGAGCAGCTCTCTGACCAGGGCTGACCTTCAACCCTGCTTGCTGGCTGCTCCAGCAGCCTCTCCTGCATCGTCCCATGCCAGTGTGCTTTCCCTTACTCAGAAAGCCAGTGTGCTCCTAGATGGCCCTCCACATGGCATCAAGAAAGGCTCCCTGCTGTCCCATGTCCCATGCCACTCTTGCTGCCTTGTGCACGAGTACATTCATAGTGCAGCAGGGGAGAGCAAATTCCAATTTGTTCCACCTCCTGGGAAATTTCAGTCCATGGAGGTCTTCAACTCACACCAATGCTGATAGCTTTCCATCGCAGAACTCAAAGACAAGTCTCAGCAGCCCACGCTCAGCTCCCTGGTGGCATGCAAAGTACCTGAGATGTCCGCAAAGAGCCAGGGAATGAGAACAGCATCCTCCTCGTACAGCATCAGCCTGGGGCTCCCTAGGCTTCTACGCTGGTCCCATTGATACCCAAGATCACTGCAACTGAATTTTACCTCGAAATTTTTGGTGTAGGTGGGGCTGGGGTCTACGCGGGTCTATAGGGTGGATGTGGGGCTGGGGGGGAAAATGAGGGGTCTGTGGGGCAATGGGGTTCTGGGAGATGAATCTTAGGATCCGGATCTTGCCCAGTGTCCAGGTGCAACCCATCCACCAGGAACTAAAACCTTCTTTTATACCCCTGAGATAAGGCTAGAAGGACCCCGAAGGCAACCTCAACCAAGAAACTGCAGATTTAATGAACGTTGCAGTGAACTACTTAGTATCTAGTTTTGTGAAAGAAGAATGCAGCAAAACTGCCTGTTCCTAGCTGACTTACCCACAGGACTTCATCAAAAAGACCCATATTTAAGCCAAGCTCACACCTTGCCTTGCTTTCCTTCCATTATTTTTGATGAGGAAAATGGGTCTCTTTAGCACTGGGTCTCTCCAGCTCTACTTGGGCATGGCAGAGGCACTGCACTTTCCTTGTGTGCCATTTCCCCAGCAGGGTGGGGAGGGCAGCTGTAAGAAATATTTAGAAAGGAGCCAAGCAACTTAGGTGTGTCTTTAGTAACTTAGATGTCCTTTAGTCACAGGCTCACACACGTGGGAATGGCAGCAAGGTGATTCTGGGGTTAAGGATGCCTCACATCTTCATCACAATCACTTTCACCTGCTTTTGAGAAGCTCCTGGTCAACTAAAGTTAAAATGATAAAAGAATAAAATAAGAGGAAGTGTTTCCCTGGATTAAGTGAAAGAAAAGCAAACGTGGAGCCTTCTGCAGTGACAGTCCCCATATGCACCACGTGCAGTGGCATAGGGAAAGTGGCTTCCTGGTGAGCCTGGGAGGCATGGCAAGAGCTGGCTGAGCCTCTGGTGGGAAAGCAGGGGCTTCTTGTTCTATTTGAGCCAGGAGTTTGTGCTTTCCCTGTGATGATACCAGCAGCTGCTGCAGACCTGGCCATAATAGTTAAAAATAAGCATCCTGGAAAAAAAAAAAGAAAAGAAAAAAAACACAACGTAAAATAAAGAAAAGATGCTACTATTAATGCATATGAGTGTTGGTAATTATAATTAATTACTATCACTCGGTTATTCACTGCAGTGTGCTTGGTAGCCACCCAAACTCCAGATCTGAGCTGTAAATACGCCAGGCTGACTGCAGCCATGGAGGACGTGGCTGTCCTGGCGTGTCTGGGTCCATCCCCAGCCCCGAGGCCATGGGGCAGGAACAAGCCTTTGGAATTATCCATGGAATTACCCATGGAATTATCCTCCTCTGCATGCCAAAAAAATGGGGCTCCCACATCCAGCTCACCTGCTGGGAAGGGCTCGTAGAATCAAAAGATCTGTAGGATCCCCAAGTCCCAGCCCAACCCATTCACCATGACCACTGACCATGTCCTGCTCTGTTTTGGAGATGAAAGGTTTCCTAATATCCAACCTGACCTTCCCGTGGGGAGGCCATCATCACCTCTCATCCTGTTGCCATTACCAACCCCCACCTCACTCCAACCTCGTTCCAGCGAGTTGTACATAGCAGTAATAATGATCCCCTGAGCCTCCTGTTCTCCAGACCGACTCATCCCATTCCCTCAGCTTCTCCCCATAAAAGCTGTGCTCCAGCCCCCTCTCAGCCCTGTTGTTCTTCTCTGAGGTCCTGGAGTCATCCAATGTCTTTCTCATAGTGAAGGACCCAACACTGAGCGCAGCACTCGGGGCTGTGCTGAACCACGTCTCAGTGTTAGCTGGGTGAGTGCTAATAATTTAAACAGCGAGGATAATTGGTGTCTGAACCCTGGAACTATTTAATTTGCTGGGATAGACGCAGCCCCAGGGCCCCTGCTGCAGCTCAACCTGGGAAAGCATCCCAGTGGCTTGAAAGCACTCGAGCAGGTGTGAAATGTTTTCCTGGGTTGGGATGAAGGGTTTGGTCCAGAGCCGAAGCCTTGGTGGGGAAAATGTTGTGCCAGGAACCCCAGAAGGCCAGTCCTGACACATGCTGTACTCAGTGGCCAAAGCCAGGCTGGATTTTCCATAAAGGCTGCACCCTGGGGCCAAACCCAAGAGAGATGCTTATCTACCCCTGCGTGCCCCCACATGCAGGGGCTGCAGGCAGAGCTCACAAACACGATGTTGGGGAACACTGGAGCTGAGCAGGAAAGCTGAAGCTTCACCTCTGCTGGAGTCTGGATGTGCAGAACCAGATGGTTGGTGTGGATTTCTCCCTGCACTGGTCAAGCTTGCAATGCTGAAAGGTGCAAAGGACGATGCATCACAGCATGGGGGACTTGTGGCCACGTCAAGAGCTGTTTAGATCCCTCCCTGCACCAGTTGCTTTGAGATGAACAGATATCCTTCCCATGAAGGATCCAATAGCATCTGAACCCAAAACCAGGCATAAAGATGCTTCAATCAGCTCACCAGCCCCGTGCTGGATGGTGTTCAAGTTGCACCCATCCAGCCCCAACCAAGAGACCACACCTGTTATCTCCAGAAATTTACCACCCCAGTTATCATCTTTGATTTTGGATGCATCTTTCCATAGAGAAGCAGGAGGACTCCTCAGAAGCGGATGCATCTCAGCTCAGAGTTCCTGCACCATACTCTCTGCTCCACCTGCTGCAAACACACACTATTCCAAATGCAGGGACTACAGGCTGTTCTTTACCCTGCCCTCAGCCCCCAAGCCAGAATCTTCCTCTCTACAGTGCAGCCATACATAGGCAATCCCCACAAAAAGTAAATCTGGGAAATCTGCCTCTCATTATAAAGCAAACCTCATTGCACAGAGAGACTTTTTGCTGCAGTTTCAGGTGGGAGCTGAGGGGGCTTCTGCCATCAGGTTTTGCAGAGAGCTCCAGCCCTCAGTGCAGGCAATATTAAGGGCACATACCTGAAGGACACTTCTCCTCTTCTGTGGGTTTATTCTAATTCCAGTCATGATGGGGAAGTGGGAGAGCACAGATAGGCAGGAAGGGATGATGCATTCAGATGGGGCAGTTTGGGGCTGTTTGCCATCCTGTTTGGAAACAGAATGGGAACAGAAACATACCTGGAGATCCAGTCACCCTAAATGCTCTGCCCTGGAAAACCCACAGCTCTGGCTTAGAACGAGGATGGCAGGGCAGAGAGAAAACTTTTGGGGGCAGGAAGAGGCAAGCATCGTATTTAGCCATTGCTTCGGCACCTTATGGTAGAGAAACATTGCCAGATCTTCAGATGATGGTGATGAGATGGGGTTGTAAGCATTTCCTAGGACCACACAGCTTATAGGAAGCCCCAAGAAGGGGACAGCCTGACGTGCACCCATCCAGACCTCTTGCAGCCTGTCCCCTGCAGCATGGCTTCATTCCCAGGACTGTGGCTGGAGAAGAAGCAGGACACCTTCGGTAGCATCTCGGTGGAGCAACAAGTGGCCAGAGACCAGAAAAAGAGAAATCAACCCCTCAAACAACCACCCTGCATCTGCTGAGGGCTGGCTAATGAGTACAAATGGCTAACGAGCCCAAACAGCCGCCTCATGCCCCAACAGGGAGGGGGTCTTTAGCGCTTCACACATCCCCGTGACGTTGAATGATGGCCTCCCAAACACTGCTCGGGTAGCCCCTGGTCCCATGGCAAGCGGCACGGAGATGAATGACCGCCGAGGGGATGTGGCAACGCAGTCATTTTTCATCTGCAGCACTGCTTAACCTTTCGTGGGCAAATCCCATTTCCCCGACGCTGGCTGGGCGCCGTACCTGCATTAAGTATTGCCGGGTCAGGGAGGGGCAGCTGTGATTTATACCCTCTCCCCGTTAATCGGATTGCGGGGCAGGCAGATATTGATGGGTGCCTGCCTTTGATCCATGGCTCTCGTGAGCCTTCATTCAATTACTGCCCCGCAGAATGCAATTAGCAGGGCCGCAAAGCCACGTGGGGCTCATAATCACGGCACGCAGCGAAGATGAAGGGGCTGTCACCAGCTGCTGGATCCCACCTGGGGGTCAGACGTGCTGCCACACATGGGGACAAAACACTGGGGAAGCATAGAGGAGGGATGGAGAAAAGCTCTGCTTCCCCCCAACAGTCCCATCCTATTTCTTCCCTCCCTGCACTCTCACCCTCCTCACCATCCACCTTTCTTACCCTCCCAAGCCAGGGTACCCCCCACACGACCCACTTTTACCTTCCAAATCCAACCTATCCTCCTCCCGCATCTTCCTGTTTGCTCCTCTTGCAGTTCACCCATTCCTCTTGCCAGCTGCTCCCACACTCACTCCAAACACAGGTCACACCACCCCCCATTTGCCTTTCTCTCTTCTCACATTTCTTTTATCTGGTCTAACAGCCTCCACCTGAGCTCTCCAGGTGTGTGATGACAGCAGTTTCTACCAGCTTTCACCCTCCATTTTTGCTCTGAACTTTTCAGTCCTGTAAACTTTAAGCCCTTGGAGGGCAGCCTGTCTGGTTCAGCATTCCTCTGCCCACCTTGCTCTCGTGGGTAAAAAGTCTAATAAAGTTGGCCACATTCTCTCATCCACCCAAAAATGCCCATCCTGCCCAAAATGTGTTGTTTCATGCCAGAAGAAATTCAGCACAACGTCATCAGCACCAACAGGGATCGTGGTGGTGTCAGCTGGGAAGAGCTGAACAACCCCACCGAGCAGCCTGAAGGCAGGAGGATGAGATGGGTGCAAAGCAGGGGGTCGTGCACCAAGACAAGAGCCTTCACTTTAAAATGATCAACTGGAAAGAGTGGTTGGCCACTGGCACTGGCTGCACTGGTGATGGAGTCATCATCCCTGAAGGTGTTCAAGGACCGTGGAGATGTGGGTTATGATCTAGTGGGCACGGTGGGATTTGCTGGGGGTTGGGCTTGGGGATCTTAGAGGTCTTTTCCAACCTAAATGACTGTCCAACCATTAAACCCATCACCACCGTGCTCACTAAACCACGTCTCTCAGTGCCAGGAGTTGAAGAATAAGAGCTGATACAAAAGGAAGAAAGTGCAAATTGGCTCCCAACAGCAGCAGGATGCAGGACGGAGACCTCTAAGCACCTGAAAACTGAGATGCTGGATGGCCTCCAAATAGGTGTCCTGGGACAAAAACTCCTCATTCATTAACGTGGAGATTTAAACCTGTATGGTATCAATTTAACAGCACAGGACCTAATGTGGTCAATCCAAGCTTTGAGAAGCAGACACCCAGAAAAGGTTTTGAGGTCTGATGGGAGCCCAGGTGTTTTGGGCTGTGTTCCCAACATGTGACATGCATCTGATGAGGTGGGGAATTCTGGGCCACCCCTAGCTGGTCCCACATCGACCTGGGGCTTGGCTGTGAAGCTTTTGGTTCCCTAACAGCCTCCAGCCTCTGCTCAGACACAGAGTTCGCTTATCATCCAACGAGGTTTTCTTTCCTGCTGCCTTTTGCTGGAGTCCTCTGAAGAGCTGACTCCCAAATCCACAAGCAACCACAAGCAGGGAGGTTTTGTTACTCCTTATTTTTCATCAAGGCAGGCGAGACAAACGCTTTTCAGCAGATATTTCTGCGCTCTTGTTTCCTCCTGTCTCTGTCCCTTCTTGCCTTCACCTCGGTTTACCTCTTCACCTCCTTCCTTGATGAGGTTGGCTGAGGTTGCAGGAAAGTGAGGTTGTCAGATAAGCCTGTCTCCATCCAGCCCATGGGATTTTCCTCCTCCAGGCAGTCCCAGGGATGGAGCTGCAATGGGGCAGAACACGGACTGAATGAGTTGGACTCCGTGATCCTTATGGGTCCTTTCCAACTTGGGATATTCTAGGATGGCTGCACCAAGCTGTGGGTTTGCTGTCTCACCATGGCCAACTACACCAAAGGTTGATGCAAAGAGGCAGTGAGAGAGAACACAGCAGGGCACAAACGGGTGTTCAGGTTGGATATTAAGAAAAGCAGTGCTGGGAGGGTGGTGCAGACCTGGGACAGGCAACCAACAAGGTAAGAGATGTCCATCCATGGAGGTTTCCAAGACTTGGTCATATAAAGCCCTAACTATCCTGCTCTAGTGACAGTCCTGCTTTAAGCAGAAATCCCATTGTACTGGAGAAGGCAAGAGCACCAGTATTGCAAGGTCCAAATGTGTTAAGGGTGTGCTGGAGCAGACCCCATGAAGCAATGGTGATGGTGGCCAACCTGACATGGTGCTTTAACAGGAAAAACAAAGTAGTGAGCCACTGCGTGGAGATGTTAAATCCCAGTTACAGAAGTGCAGCATCCCAAAGACGTCAAACTAAGAAACACCAATGTCAAACATTCTCTTATTTTAAGAGATGCTTATGAGGACTTCACATTGAGGTTCCACCTGAACCTGCCATTGGATTGGAACTTCCTTCCAGAAAGGAGTCCCCTAAATCCTTTCCTCCTGCACCATTCTCCTGGGTCCTTCCTGTGTTCTTCCCCATTGCCTGCAGTGGGGCAGGTGTGCAGTGTCCCCCAACCCATGGAGATGCCCCATGGAAGCTGAGCCCCTGGGAGCTCCGTGCTGAGATTTCCCAGTTTGCTGGTTTTTAATTAGAGCGTGTCATGTTGATTTGGTAATCACTTTAATTTCCTAATCAACATGCCGTGTGGTCAAACATCTTGCATATCCCAGTGCCAAGGCTGGGAATTATGTGGGGAATCTAATATCCTAATGTGGTTAGGGCCAGAAAAAAAAAAACCCACTAATATAATCATCATATTGCAAAGGATGATAAATACCATGATAGAAAATATGCAATGTGAGCAGGCAAAAAGATTCCCCGTGGAAAGCTAATGCAATCCCCTCTGCCTTGATGAAGTGCCTATTATCTTTGCTCTGCCCTCCAAATCTTAATTCCTGCTCAGCATTACTTCCCCCATATTTGCAGACATAGATGCGATCAATGAGAGCAAAATGCACATTCCTTGAAGGTGGCTACTCAACACTTGGGTTTAATCATGCTTGTTTATGCAGGAAACCAATTAAAATAGCCACAGAATTAGGCAAAGATTGGCTTTAGCCTCCAGCAGGCCCATGTGATGTGGACTATGGGACTCAGTGGGGTGGTTTTCCCAGGGCAGACCATACAAACAGGCAGCAAACCTCATCCAGGTGCACAAAGGGATGCTGAATTACACAATTTGGGATTTTTTTCTGGAAGAGATGAAGGCAAAGGCAGCACCTTTGCAGCAGTAACACAGCCACATAAGCACAGGCACTTATTTAAACAGTTATATGCTGTATTGTTTAATGGAAGTTACAATAGGATAAATGTACAGTCGAAGTCAACATGCTAATTTCTAACGCAATTTAACCTGTAAACCATGCAGTCCATTTTTCAATCAGTCAGTTTTTCTTTGTAATCAGTAGCTCTGCTAGTGAGTTTTAAGGGAAAAAAAAAAAAAAAAAAAAAAAAAGTTCCCTTTAAAGTTAAACCTAATTTACTAATTTTTCCCCTTATTGTGCAACAACTTGTGCAAAAAAAGCTGTCTTCACCACATCATTAGTTTACAAAATCACGCTCCTCCACCTCAAAAAGGCAACAACACAAACAGCCAGTAGGCACTGAGGGATGGGATGGGGACTGGATTTGGGATAGGGATGGGGTTGGCGATGGGAACTGGGATGGCAATGAGAACTGGGATGGGGATTGGGTTTGGGATTGGGATGGGGATTGGGGTTGGGATTGGGATGGAGATTGGTGTTGAGGTTGGGATGGTGATGGGGGTTGGGATAGCAGTGGGGATTGGGGTTGGTGTTGGAATTGGGATGATGATGGGTGTTGGAGTTGGCATGGTGGTGGTGGTTGGGATGAGGATGGGGATTGGGACGGTGATGGGGGATTGCTGTTGACATTGGGATGGTGATGGGCATTGGGATCACAATGGGGATTGGGGTTGGTATTGGGATGACGATGGGGATTGTTTTGGGGATTGGGAAGGTGATGGGGATTGGGATGGCGATGGGGATTGTTTTGGGGATTGGGATGGCGATGGGGTATGGGGTTGGTGTTGGGACTGGGATGGTGGTGGAGGCTGTGGTTGTGATGAGGATGGGGATTGGGATGGCGATGGGGACTGGGGATGCGATTGAGATAGCAGTGGGGATTGGGGTTGGGATTGTAACGGAAATTGGGATAGAGATGGAGGAGGGAGTGTTCAAAGCTGTTCCCTTTATGATTTGCTCTGCAGCTCGGTGCCTTAGAGGTGTCCCAAAAAACTATTCCAAGGAGGTTTTAAGGAAAATAAGGAAAATAAGAGAAATGGATGTTTCTCAGGAAGGCAACCTTTGTTTTTGTTCTTTTTTTTTCTTTTTTTTTTTTTTTTCTTTTTTTTTTTCTTTTTAATCCAATGGTGCTGAATTGTTCGCCAAGCTATGGGGAGAAGGAGGCTGATCCACTCCTTACTACAGCCACTGCTTTGAAACCTAAGGAATGACCAACGTATGTACATGGATGTGTTAATAGCAGCATTATTTGTTCTGGGGGTTGCAAACTGATGGTTACAGCAGTGGGTTCAGCCTCTGCCTCCCCCCAGATCACAAATTTATAGCAACAACCTTTCCCTCATAAGCAATACCATCCGTATCAGAGGATACCAGTCATTAGTAAGCGATTTAGAGGGGACTTTAAACGTCTTCCAGGGCTTTTTAAGCAGTCTGTTTAAAAGATTAATTTTATTTTGAAGGGATGGAGCTGCATCTCTCGGAACAAAAAGTTAATTAGGACCAGAGCACCAAAATTCCATTTTTCATGGCCGTGATGTGACTTGTGGTTAGGTGCTTGACCTCCCGAGATCAGAAACTCCCTGAATCTGATGGGGCTGGGCTGAGCTTTCCCAGCAGCACATCCCAGTTGCCAGCCCCACTCCCTGGAGCAGAGCTCACCCTGAGCCACAGCCACTCTGGGATACTTAATGCAATGCAGGAGCTGCTCCTTGGGGATAAAAAACCCAGATTCCAAGCCAGGAGCTGACTGCTTTCCCCAGCTCATAGGGGTGATGCTGCCTGGTCCTGCTCCCTTCTCCCTGCTGGAGGAAAATCCTCAGTGTGCAAAAGGCACCTCCTCATCCAGCAGCGACGTCAGTGGCTGAGAAAAGCTATTAGAAATTGGGTTTGACAGTCTATCCTCCCACTAATAAAAACTGGAAACACCAGAGTGCTCTATTTGTCATGCTTGCTGATGCTCTGTTATGCCGTTGCCAGCATCCGTAGCAGCGTGATTCTGAAGTGTTTTAAAGTGCTTGTGACTGGATGGCCCTCCACTGAGTGCCTCGTGCACTGAAACCTCCCTCCTCCTCCCACCCTGGGGTTTTTGCTTCAACCTCTGAGCTCTGCTGCTCAAAGGATGCTCAAAGCAGATGGTCCCACCTGCTTCTGCCACCACTTGTCCCCTGTCACCTGTCCCTAGCTGGAGGGTCCCCTTGGGTGGATCACATCATACGGTCCCTTGCTGACCACACAACTGTCATCCATCTGCTTCTTTTTTTTTTTCCCATCCTTCTTACATGTATTTCGAAGAAAGTACCCTTCAATCCTCTCAAAGAAAGGAGCCATAAAGCCAAGTTCCAGCTCTTCCCTCGTATTAATGGACATAATGCACTGGTTGTGGTGGCTGGAGGTTGTGGTGATGGGACAAAGCCCCACGAGCTCATTGCTAGTAATGTGCCTATTTCAAGGTTCATGCACCCTTACCAAAAAGAAATCAAAGCAGTACTGCTGAGGAACAAAGAAGGAAGGCGACACACCACTGCTTCGTGCATCCATGGAGCCAAAAATACAAAGCCAGAAGTGCTCGTGGGGAGAAAGCAAAGAGCCCAAATGCCACCTTCTGCAGCCTCAGCTGGGTGACACACGGACAAATCCTGCCCCTGTGCAGCTCAGGACCCTGCAATGGGGAGCTGAAGGGGAACAGAGGTGTTAAAAAAGGCCCTGCCATTCACAATGAGGGTTTGAATTCCCTCCAACACAGCCTCAGGGTTTGGTAGTGGGGGAAGCGGCCGGATAAGCTTTCACCTGCGGTAAGGAAAATCAAAAGGGGAATGAAAAGATAAGGGCAAAAGTCCCTTCTCTCTGTAACCTGAAGCCCGGGATTAACATCCTGTTGATAACATGACGTGGTCCTCAAAGACTGCCTTGATTTTGGCAGATGATGCACTGGTAGCTCTGGAGCATAGAGCAGAGCAGAGCTCTGTCATTCAGAGCCATGCTGCTGGTGCACAATGCTACTCCAGGGGGAACCTCATGCACCCCACATTTGGGGGACATCCCCATGTTGGAGGGATGTGCTGGAGGCACAGGGATGTGGCACCATGGCAGCAGGAAGGGAGGATGGGAAAGCAGAACTGCAAACCAGCACGGAAAGGAAAAGCAAAGCAGTGTTGTACACTTCTCTCCTTTCACCCAGCCCAAACTGACCCCATAAGGCACCCCAACCTCTCCTATGCAACGAGGAAGCACTTGAAGTCCTTTTACACCCAGTGCAGGGCCACAAGACACCACCAGGTCCCAGAAGAAAAGCTTGGGGTGCATCATCTCTGAGCAGTGCCACCACACACACCAAAGGGTCACAGCTCCCAAGAGCCACCCGCGACCCAGGGTGGGAATCAGCCCTTATGGGAAAAGGGGAGAGAGGCTGAGAAATCACTGCTTCTCCTCCTACACAAACCCAACATGTGTGATGGCAAGGCAAGCTGAGGAGCGACCCTCCTGAATGCGTGCTCCTTTGAGCAGAGCCAATGAGAAGAACCTGAAACCACAGCTCCTCCCTATACTTCTTGTGATCCCTTGTTCTGCAGCTGAATAACTTAACGAAAGGAAGTCAAACCAATTCTTTGAATTTGGCTTACAAAAAAAAAAAAGAAAAAAAGAAAAAAAGAATAAAAAAAAGAAAACCCAACCCACCCACACGCACACACAAAAAATACCCAACCAACCCGTCGTCTGGGTGTGAACTTCTCGCTCAGGCTTCAGGTTTTCCCGTTGCTTTGCAAACCCCTGAAAATAGGAGTTCAGAATGGTGACTGCTGACACCACACCTCCTCTCCACCAGCAGCATGCCACCTACCTGCCCCGGGATTATTTAACAATGTTTTGTCAGAAGGGTGGGTTTCATCCATACTATACAAGCGAATACAAAAATACATCTGTTCTCTTTGAACAAGGATCCCAAGTCCAGGCGTGGGGAAAGGCTGTGGGTCCCTCATGAGTGATGGCTGTTGATGAGGCCGCGGAGCTGCTTGGCCACTGTGTCTATCAGCTTCTGCTTGTCCCGCTCGTTCTTCCGAAACTGGGCAAAAACGTTGTTCTTCCGGCTCGTGTCCCTCATCCTGAGCAGAGAACAGAGAGGTTACAGTACGTGCAGCGATGCTATGGGTGCACCAAGAGAAGCTTGCGGCTGGTAGAGCAAAGAGGAGATGGTCTGTAGATCTGTAGACCTGTAGATCTACAGACCATCGCCTTGGGTCTAGCCTCAAGCTTTATCCACCCCATGGGCCAACCCCAGCTCGTGGCACCTGCCTCAAAGCCAAGGCACTGCACCAATCCTGAGCCCCTAACGCCTCTCATTCTCCCCTTCATAAAATCATAGAACGGTTTCAGTTGGAAGGAACCCTTAAAGGCCATCTGGTCCAACTCCCTTCCAATGGATGGGGACACCTACAGCTCCACCAGATGCTCAGAGCTCCATCCAGAACGTCCTTACGTGTTCCAATGTCCTTACGTGTTAAATGAGTACTGTAATATTAGGAGGATCAGGGAATTAAAAAATTAGCACAAAATCCACAGTGTGAATGATTCTTTTTGACATGGTGCATTGCATGCAGCCAAGAGATGCAGCTTTTGGGGCAGCCGTCAAGTTTCAGACTTGTGGACTTAACTTTACAGGATGTTCAAGGAAGGAATCCAACATTAGCTCCTCCAGTTTACAAACCTCAGGGAGATTTGTATTTCCTTCAATTGCATCGGTCTCCATGAGGTCCTCAAGCTCAGGACCAACAAGGCACAGTGCTGGGACAGGACCAGAATAACACAGAATGATAGGGGTTGGATGGGGATCATCGAGTCCAACCCCCAACACCTGGGCAGCTCCATTCCTCTCTGGCATGCAAAGCTTGGCATTCATGCACGTTTGCATTCGCAGATGCATTTTGGGGGCCCAACATCTCATTGCATGGCTCAAGCAGGGCGTGTGCTGGGGAGTGGAACCACCCCATAAGGGTCAACGTCAGCAGAGCCTAAAGGCATTGGGCTCCAAGCACCCAGCCTGCTGGGCACTGCTCTCCATAATACCCTAATTTGTAACTGGTTTTGATGGTAAATCAGATCTGGCAGAGACAGATGGCTTTGGATGAGCCACATCAGCCTGTGTTTTTGGCTCTGGGTACTTCAATGAAGCATAGAGTGACCAGGACACAGAGATGATGGGCTCTGGAAGCACGGCAGTTTATCAGATGGAGGGTTTTGTGTTATCAGAGCACAAAACAAACCTCTTCAAGCTCATTTAACCTATTAAAAAAATATATCTACGATTTTCCGTGCTTCAGTCTTCATAAAAAGGAGCCAAAGGGAATCTGAAATGTTCCAAAAACCATCCAGCTTGGAACTGAAAACATGATAACAACCTCATCCCAAAGGCTAATTTGCTATAGTTGTAAGTGCCCAAAGGCACAGGATTATAATCGAGCTGCTTTCCCAACAGTAACCAGATAGCTTGGAGCAATTTTATTCAGCAAAATAAGCTGGGTTTTTTTTTTTTTTTTCCTTCCTTTCTCTTTATGTATTTATTTTTAAACTGAAGTAGCTTGCCAGCTGCTCCCAGCCTTGGAACCAGACAGAAAGAGGGGATTTTTGAGTCACACAGATTACAGGTGCTGCGGCACTGGGAATTTTGGTAACCACCACCCTGCTGCAGGACATCACCCCTCCCTCAAACACCTTCCCATAGAGCTGAGAGCTCCATCTCCATCTCACAGGTTGTGCAGGGACACCAGATGTGCTGGAAGCAAACCTGCACCTTGAGAAACCTCCACCTGTGGCCGTCCCATGGGCAAAAAAGCACTGAGTTTCTTCTGCCCGGTGATACCCGTAAGTAAGGAAGGCATGGCATCCTCTGCCTTAGCAGCCCCAAAATCTCACAGAAGATGCTCAGGTGCAGATTTATTTCCATGAGATGTTTCTCAAGAACTGCATGTTTTATGGAAGGAAATTTTGAGTGATTGGGAAGGAGCTGCAAGGAGAAAGCTGTGGGATCGGGGTGACCAAGCACTGCTGGCAATGCATGGACCCCATCCCAACTGGGATGAAACAGGAGCTGCTGGTATCTCCCATGTGGATTTGGAGGCACAAAGCTGCTACCAGCCCCACTTCCCCAATGAGGAACATGCTTGCAGAACACAAAGTCCTGCAACAACTACAGGTGCGTGCTTCCCCACTGTGTGCAATGGGCATTTCCCACCTACACCCAACTGTCACTCAAGGTGAGAGGGATCTTTTCTAAAGAGAAAAGGGTTACAAAACTGCTGGGTGCCAACCAGCTGCATTAGTGTTGCTGTCAGGGAGCAGGGCTGGGACACGGCATGTTTACTCAGGGCTCATTGCTGCTCGTAGAGCAAGAGCAAGCCTGAGCCCGTGTGCGCCTGCAGGGATGGAGCAGAGGGTTTCTCCAAAGGGTGATGGTGTCAGCATGAGGGACGCCCAGCAGGTGGTTGGGTGGGGAGGGCAGCTTGGAGGCCATGGATGGAGAAACAGACTTAAAAAAAGTCAGGTTTATCACAGTCTCTTAGAATTATAGGATGGCGAAGGTTGGAGGGGACCTCAAAGATTATCTGGTTCCAACCTCCTGCCATAGGCAGGGTTGCCAACTTCCAGATCAGGCTGCCCATCCAACCTGGCTTTCGATGCCTCAAGGGAACCACAACCTCTGTGGCTAATGTGTTCCAGTGCCTCACCACCATCACAGGGGTCAACACTGGGGTGCCATGTGCCAGCCCCATTCTTTTCCAGCCTTGGGCTGCAAGAGCTGGGCGACGTGGTTCTAGATAGAGCTGTGCATCCTAACACTGGGAACAGGTTGGAAACAGAGGCAGATCTTTAGGGGATCCACACTATTGTGCCTGCAGGACAGTTGAGGCTGGTTGTGTAATGCGGTCCCTCTGTGCTGGCCCAGGAATTAAAAGTAAGAAGAAGGGAGAGAGCTCAATGCTGTCCCCACCCCTGTCAACAAACACCGCCTTAAATAGAGCCAAGCTTTGTTTAAATTAATCTATAAGAGAAAAAAAAAAAAAAAAAAAAAAAGCGAGGCAGTCAAAGCTCCTCTTTTAGTTCTAATTAGTGCATTTGAGACGATAGAGTTACCAGAGGGAACTGTTTCAAAGGCAGCTTGCATTTAGATCATTTAGTGCTCCATTTAAATCAAACAATAAAGTCACTGCAAGGTGAGGGTAAAAGCCCAAGCAAGCAGCATACTTACACTCGTGATATCCTATGGGAGATGTGTGATTAGGAAAAGAGATAATCATGAGAACAAGTTACACAACCCGGCTGCTTCGTGTCCAAACGTTCAGCTTTCTTTTTTTTTTTCCATTTCATGGATAGCTCTGAATATACTGCACTCTTTTGCACCATGGAGGATGGAGGGCTGCAAATATACTGCAGATGATGCAACGTATTGCACGATGCACATATAAAATATGGCTATAGTGTATAAAAGCATTTTGCACTGACACAGTGCTCCACTGCAGACCCAGCAGCCTTTGGATGCTGTGGGTTGATTTGAAATGAGCCAGGGAAGGGAGGAGGTGCGGTTGAGTGGACTGCAGACAGCACAGACCCACATCCAAAGCCTCAAAGCACTCCCAGTTTATGCTTCTAAAGGCTTAACCCCAACACCAAACTGGGCATCTTCTACTCTACGTGCAACAGAAGCGAGAGGTACTCTGAAAAACTCAAATTCTACCCAAGGATCTGATTTCACATTAAACCAAACCAAAACCCAACCACCAGCTCGCTCATCCTGCCCACTCCTCCATGCCAGACCCAGCCATGGAGTGGCCACAGAATGAGGAAATCAGGAATTATTCTTTTGGGCTTGTTACTTTGCTGGTGAGGTGTGATGGAAGCAAAGGGGCAGAGCAGGGCTGATCCTCCTGGTGAGGATGAGTGACTTGGTGAGGACGAGTGACCTGGTGGCACTTGTCTCTGACAGCAGGTACGTGCTGGAGGGGTTACCAGGGCAGTGAACCCCACTATTTGGGACTGAAGCCAACATGCTGCTTCCATGCCCGAGTTCATCACGTGGCCTGGGATTTTCCAAGTCTGGAATTATTAACTGTGAGCTGCTCAGAGCATGGATTGGGCTCAGAGGACTGCCAAACCCTCTCTCTGCTCCAGGGTGCATCTCACCTCTCCACAGAGGACACATGGAGATGGCCATTGAGGTCAGCTGTTCCTCAGCTCCAGGCTTGGCTTGCACATTACCTCCTGGGGCAAGTGCAAAGTGCAGGCTTCAATGAAACTGAGATTCACCCTTAGCAGAAAATGTGGGTCCTGTCCTCTCTAAGAGCCTTGGAGCCACCTAAGGATATTCTTTCTGTCCCATAGCTGGGATTTTAGTGTATGACCCTCTTGATGGAACCAGAAAACAGAGCAATGAGTGCCTTCAGGCTGGCCATTTTCATATGATTTTGGGGGCTAGCTTGAGATGCTAGTGGAAGTCTGTCATAGAACGAGGAAAACTCTGCTTAAGAACGAAGCAAAAATAGAAGTCCTTAACCAAATCAATGCTTCTTGATAGAAAAACTGGAGTTTAGTGGGATAAAGGACTTTGTCAGCACTCCCACTGCTCCGAAACCTTCATTTGGGGCTGAAAATTGTTAGGGTGCCCCTTGCTGCACTCACTTCTCCAGCAAGACGAGTGCTGTGGTGGGGTTCACCCGGAGGTATTTGCAGGTGGGTTGCCCGTAGTCAGCCAGGTACGTCGACCAGTCCCACTGGATGAACAGATCCAGGAGCTGCAGGGAAGAAAAACAAACAAAAATAAGGTGGTGAGCAAGCAGGTGGCTTATCTGAGTCATGGCAAAGGTCCCGGAAAGGTGGTGTTAATCAGAAAAGCCATGTTTTGCAGTTTTAACCTCCTTTAGCCATATTGCATGCCTGATGTGCTACCCTATTGGAGGGTATGAAGACTGAGGCACCCCAAGAAACTTGTTGGCAGAACCTGAAAAGAGATGCAGTGCTTCACCTCAATGGGATTTGTGATTTCCAAGGCAGCAGACCTAAAGGAGAGCTCTCACATCCCCCACACTGCAGTGGGCTCCCTTCTCCCCTGACCCATGACCACTTCCCATCCAACATGGCTGGGGATGCTGCGCTTTGTGGGAAGGCATCAGCACATCTGGTGGTGGGGATGGGTTGGTGGTTGGATAGATGATCTTAGAGGTGTTTTCCAACTTAAAGATAGAATCAAAGAATAGAATAATAGAACCACCAAGGTTGGAAACAACCTCCAAGATCATCCAGTCCAACCCACCACCAACACAACCCCACTAAACCATGTCCCTTAGTGTACCAGAGGTGGTACTGGAGATACAGGAAGAGAGTGAACTGAGACATTTACCTATGATTTTTCCTATTTCTCAGCAGACAGTGGAAGTCTCAGCTTTGTCAAGAAATGGTTTTCAAAAACCATGATGCAGATGTGCTTAAATCTGCTTTTTAAGGTCATAACAGGGTCTGCTGCGATAGGACAAGGGGAAATGGTTTCAAGCACAAAGAGGGGAGATTTAGATTGGATATGAGGAAAAAGTGTTTTACAATAAGGGCAGTGAGGCACTGGAAGGTGTCCCAGAGAAGTGGTGGTGCCCCATTCCTCAATGTCAGGCTGGATGAGCACCTGATGGAGCTGTGGGTGTCCCTGATCATTGCAGGGAGTGGGACCAGATGGCAGACCAGATGGCCTTTGAGGGTCCCTTCCAACCCAAGCCATTGTATGAGTCTATGGTTCTACAACAGTGCCCGTGTTTTTGCATAATCATCACAGAATGGCCTGGGTTCAAAAGGACCACAATGCTCATCCAGTTCCAACCCCCTGCTGTGTGCAGGGACCAGACCAGGCTGCTCAGAGCCACATCCAGCCTGGCCTTGAATGCCTGCAGGGATGGGGCATCCACAACCTCCTTGGGCAACCTGTTCCAGTGCATCACTGTGTGAAAAACTTCCTCCTAATCTCCAACCTAAACCTCCCCAGTCCCAGTTTCAAACCATCCCCCCTTGTCCTATCGCTATCCACCCTCATAAGCAGCCGTTCCCATTCCCGTTTATGTGCCCCCTTCAAGTACTGAAAGGCCTTGGAGGGGAACGCACGGCTCATGACAAGCAGCCACGGTTCCCCCTGTCCCTGTGACCGCTCTATTGTGGCTCAGGGCTGCCAAGTGCCGACGTCTTCATCGGCAGCAGCCAAGCGTCCCGGCGCCCGCCCCATAAGGAAGGGCCCCATGGTATTGTCTGCCCGTGGCCGTCCCCAGGCGAAGCGAGGGCCATAGAGGCCTCATTGTGCCCCCGCGTCTCCATGGTTTTCCTGAAGGCTCAGGCGCTGTTTAACAACACAACCCGCCCGGCAAAGAACGGGGATTTGGCTCCTCGAAGACCTCAAGGTACAAAACAAAAATGTGCAACAAGATTCTTTTTGACTATGTAGGTCAGGGCAAAGAAAAGAAGCTGTCGGGAACAATCCCCAGCGCTGGCAGGGGGGACGGATTAGCCGGGACCTCGGAGGGCTCTTCCAGCCCGTGGTTTTGTGCTGCAGGTCGGCTACAAACCAGGGCTGCACATTGTTGGGAGTCTTTTTATCCAAAGGGCACCCTAAAGCCGCAGCCTGGAGTATGACTTCATGTGCTCCTTCCACCCCACGATGCTTCCAGCAGGTCTGTCCTGCACTGGGGATGGCTGTAGGGGCTGCAGGATGCCCTGTAGGGCAATAAAAGAGGGGTAGAAAGAAGAAGGCGAAGGTTAGAAGTGAGGTACGGAAAAAAAGCACGAGGGGCTGTGATTGTGCAAAGGTGCTGGTGAGGCTGCAACTCAAGTGCTGTATTCAGTTTTGGGCCCTTCACTACAAGAAAAGCACTGGAGCGTGTCTGGAGAAGGGCAGCAGAGCAACGAGGGATCTGAAGTGCAGATCTTATGGAGAGAGGGTGAGGGAATGAGATGGGACAGACTGGAGAAGAGGAGGCTCAGGGGAGACCTCATGGCTCTGTAACTGCCTGAAGGAAGTTGGAGCGGGGTGGGGGTTGACCTCTGCTTCTGGGTAACAACAGGACAAGAAGTGATGGCCAGGGGAGGGTCAGGTTGGATATTAGGAGACATTTCTTCTCCAAAAGAGTGGCACAGATTGCATAGGGAGGTGGTGGGGTCACCATCTCTGGAGGTGCCCAAGAACCGTGGAGATGTGGCACCGAGGGCCATGGGCAGTAGGCATGGTGGGATGGGTTGGGGTTTGGGCTTGGGGATATTAGAGCTCTTTTTCAGTCTGAATGACTCTACGACTGTAAATAAGCACCATCCTAAACACAAACCCACCCAGGCTGGACCTTGGAAGGGCACAAGCAGCACTGAGGGTGCCCAGGGCTGAGCACAGTGGGCACTGCAGGGCTCAGCCATAGGCACAGGTCGGAGCCAGGGGAGAAAGGTGCTGCAAGAGGGAGCTGTCTCTGGACGATTTATCTGTCACATAAATGTGGTTTTATTGCTTTTACTGTTTAAACTTTTCACCTCTGCTGCTAAATCTGAATGACACCAGGAAAAAAAAAAAAAAAGAAATAAGGAAAAGAGAAGAGCGTCTGCACGGCGGCGCTGGGCAGCTCCACGGCTGCAGCCGCCTTCCAGGGGAGATTCCAAATAAAATATGCAAATACCATTAATTCTTCAAACCAGAGTCTGCTTTTCAAGGCTATAAATCAAAGCTGACAGGGCGCACACTGGAGGAAAGGAAAAGAAGAGGGGGGAATAAAAAAAAAAGGGAGCTTTTATTGCGGCGATAGGAAAATGCAATAACTGCGTGCTCAGCTGCAAGCCTGCAGCTGCAAAGAGTTCACATAGGAGAGCTGTTTGTGCTCAAGTGTGTGTTTGTACGAATGGAGAAGTGGAGAATGGAAAGGTACAGGAAAACAATCTGGTTTTATGCATTCACACACACATGTGTGTATATATATATATAAAACCCCAATGAACATGGCTGCACTGGGAATGGAAACTGGTGTCTGTGTCACCATGGGCCTTGCACAGACCTGGGAGGTGATGCACGGTGCCTAGAGCTGAAAATGGTGGCAGGAAAGGAAGACTCAAGGTGAAAAGTAATGCAGAGAATAGAGACTTATCCTATGGACAATGGGTTGGTATCATAGGGCTGAGCTGACATGGGACGATTTGGCCCCAAGGACCTCTCCCCACCTCTTCCCACTAAGACACAAAGGCCAAGAACCATTGCAGAACCTTCCTGCATCACTGACTTCAAGCAACGCCTGGCTCTGCTAACTTTTTCCTCTTCAGAACTGATGGCACAGGTATTTTCAATGCCTGCTGGGTGAGAGAGGCACATCTCAGTGTAAAAGTGCCATTGCTGCCTCTTCTCTTGTGGCTACATCTTCCTCTGTGTCTCAGCCGCTCTGCTTTTTAATATCCTGACTCCTTCAGGCTGAGTTCATGCTGAAACTGTTGGTATTTATGGAAATATATTTATAAAACAGCTGTTGCCAGAGGCTGGCTGGCACAAGTCTCACAGCTACGCAGCAACCAGATGGTGTAAGGGAAACCAACCCCATCCTGAAGAGGAACTCTCCCCTTGTTTCAAGGTCTACAGATGTCAGCTTGAAACCCTTCTTCCAGTAAAAATACAACATCCTCCACACCAGTATCTCCTCCCTTTTCATCCCCTGCGATATTTACTCTCAGCAACACCAGAGAGCATCAGAAAGGCTTGAACAGGGCTCTCCAGAGCATCAACAGACCCACAACCAACAAGGGATGGGAAGCATCCAAGATAGGAAATCAAACCTCCCAATAAAAGCCCAGTTTGGGAAAATCTCACACCTCTTTTAGTCCTTTTCCCTCTGCTTTTCTGTGGTGCTCAAGGCTCACGAGATGGGTGCAAAGCATGGTGCATTGCTACTGCTGTGTCTCCTGTAAAGCAACACCTGCCAGTAAAAACCCAAAGCGTGGCGGGGGATGAAAAGGGGAAGACGACTTGTGACCATTCGTGACCACTTCATAGAATCACAGAATCATTAAGGTTGGAAGAGACTGCCCAAGGAGGCTGTGGATGCCCCATCCCTGCAGGCATTCAAGGCCAGGCTGGATGTGGCTCTGGGCAGCCTGGTCTGCTGGTTGGTGACCCTGCACATAGCAGGGGGTTGGAACTGGATGAGCATTGTGGTTCTTTTCAACCCAGGCCATTCCAGGATTCTGTGATCAAGCCCAATCGTCAACCCATCCCCACCATCTCCACTAATCATGTCCTTATGTTTATTGGATGCTGTTCTAAAAGGCACAGTTACCACATTCCCTTCTTTTCCTAATCACCTCCAAGTTTGATGCTCTTCCTCCAGCATCACTGCGGGCAGCAAGCAGAATGAACAGCCTTGACCCAACGCCTTCTACAAAGCAGCCATGCTTCAGCTTGCAAGAGATCACATTGTTGCCTTATAATCCTAAATCTCTTCTTTAAAAAGTACATTTTGTTGACCTGACACCACAGCTCCATTGATGAAAGGTGACAGCAAGAGGCTTGGATCCTAACAGCGTCACAACTAAACCCGCCTGAATGAAGAGACAAGCAGCTCCCAGAGGGACCACAAAATACCCAGCTAAGAATATTGAATATCTCCATGAAAAGCAGAAGAAACCATTGGATCCAACCCAGTGCCATGTCCCAGTTTGCCCATGCATACAACCATCCCACGGCCGATCGCTCAGCCCCTGATGCCTCCCAGTGGGGTGACTACAGAGCACAAAGCCCAGG